GTGACTTCTATATAATAGTAATAAGAATTTCAATATAATATAAAATTCAGCTAAAGATAGAGTATTATCCTTCAAAATAATCTTTAAATTCTTTTGGCAACCAGAAATTACATTATTCAATACATTGAATGAATAGGAATTTATAGATATATAAGTAATATTAGAAGAAAAGAATAAAACTTTAATGTAACAAAATGCAATATATAGTAGTTGTATAGACTATATTTGGATGTTACAAAGCTTAACAAGATATTTTATTCTATGGTTCAATAATTAAAGTATAAAAGAAATTACAAATAGTAATTATACTATGCTCATAATAATGCTACATGATACAAACTTTTTCAAAAAAAACATAGCAAAAGTGACTATAACAAGGCCTGTTAAAAGAATTGACATAAAGTGATCAATATCAAAATAGTGGCAAGCCTTTAGTAATAATATATAACATAAGTTTAATATAAAACTGGATTTACTGTTATAAACAAAGTCAGAAAATAATGAAAAAGAAAGTTGAATCAACAAGATCTAGGAAGTGTTTAAAGAATAAATAAGTAAAACAGCTTATAACAAACTGGCAATAAAGAAATTTGTTTAACTAAACATAATACTATAAACACAATTCAGAATTTATCAAATATAAAAGATATCTATAACTAATAATATTCTAAAAAAAAGCTGTAGCTACAAAGAATATTACTAGCTTACAAATCTTAAATATAGCTATTAACAAGTATAATAGAGTATATGAGCCTAATCCTCAGATAGAAAACTATTGCATCCAGCATAATATCTTAATATTTCTTGAACATTATTAAAAAATAATATTCAATATATAATAGAAGGTTTCAAGCTAATATATCAAAAGTTGAAAGAAAAAAAAGCAAGGAATAAAATCAAATCAATCCTTAAATAAAGATGTAAAGACTTAAAAATCAATAAAAAATAAATAATAAACTCTTTAACAAATAGAAAAAAAATAAAAATAATGTTAAGTAGAATCAAAATCAAAGAGGATGAATCTGAATATATAATAATCAAGAAAGAAAAAGTAAAAGAAAAGATATAAATATATTATCAAGATATCTTCAAAAAGTGAAATATTGATTTTGACAATTTAACAAGTAATTGAAAAGTAGAATACAAGCCTAAAAATTATATCAAAGAGATATGTATCAAAATTTCTTAAAGCCAATCTCACAAGAGAAATTAAGCAAAGTACTATGAACATTCTCTAACAATAAAGCATCAGGTAAATAACAGATTAACTATAAAATATTAAAGAGATTAAGATTCGAAGAAAAAGAATATTTGAGAAAAATAGTTAACAACTTTTTAAAATAAAAAATAATTTCAATTTGATAAAAATAGAGCTATATTTATTTAATTGCAAAGTCAAAACCATAGGGATTTATCTGATAAACACAAAAACTATAGTTCTGCTAAAAGTAATAAGAAAGTGCTTTACAAAAATTCTCACTAACAAATTAGGAAATATTTATAAGATGAACAATATCCTTAGAAGTTTCAATTATGCAGAACTTCTTAATAAAAGTATAGCAAAACCTATTCAGATCCTAATCAATATTTGTGAAGATACACAGAAAAGTAAAAAGGAATTTTGAATATTTTTTTAGGATATAGCTAAAACATATAATACTATTAATCTAGATATGTTAAAAAAAGTAATAAAAAGGATTAAAATTCTAGTTAGCTTTATGAATATAGTAATGAACCTGTTTTAAATTAAGGAGTTTAAGTTATTTATGAAAATAATCTAACAAGTCCAATAATAGTAAGAGATGGAATCAATCAAGAAAAAACTATCTCTTTCTAATGTAGAGAATATTTTATAATCCTTTTCTATGCAAATTCAGAATAATAAAGAATATAAATATAAGATGACAGTTTTCTAAAATCTAGATCTAATAGGAAATAATACAAAGAAACTAAAGTCTTGACATATAGCTACTTTCTTTTATGGAGGATACTATATGAATTGTTAGATTCAAAAAAGATATAAAAAAAATTTTAAAAGAAGCAAAAATTTTCTATAAGACAAATGATTTCCAAATCAATAGTAATAAATTGATGCTAGTTATTATTAATAATTCCAATCAATATCTGGTAAAAGTTCAAGTAAGCATTAACAAAGAAATAATAAAAAAACTAGATAGAATTGAGTAAGCAAGATTTTTAAAAATCTGGATAGACAATTAAAAAATTATAGTTGAACTTTAGAAAAGAGTATTAAGAGAAATCAATATATTCAACAAAGTTCTAAAAAATAAAAAAATAATAGATAAACAAATGTTCTATATATTGAATAGAGTCCTGATATTAAAAATTAAGTTTTGAATACAATATGGTATATCTACTATCTTGAAAAATATGTAACATTTTAACAACAGTATATAAAAAGTTCTTCAAGAATAAAACTATTTTCAATAAATCAATATCAAATAGTATTATATATCATTCAAAAATTCACAACTTAAAAAGTATGTAGATATTACAAAAAGAAAGTCAGATAATATGATTATGCAATAAACTTAATGATAAAGAATCAGTGGGAGTTATAATAGTTATTAGATTCAAACAAGCACAAATCAGGTACTAGAAGCCTAATAATCTACTTATCTGTAATTTCTTATATTACCTATTAGATAGAGGCAATTTTATATTTCTAGTATTAAAGTTAGTTAGAGATATAGGTAATGATGGGTCCCTAAAGTATTTAGCATATAAAATTTCACAGATCACTTATGTCCCTTTTTGAGAGACATAATTTATAACTCTTCACTTTAATAGGGACAAAAGTCAGGAAATGCTATAAATCAATGATTTAGATAATGGAGAACAATTGTAGATAGTTTTTTTATGGTTATTAATTTAAAAATTTAATTTTTTCTAGTGAGGGACATTTGACTTATGTCCCTACCTCCCCCTTTAAGGACCCATCTTTAAATATAGGTATAACTTTTCAAAGTTGAAAATGGCATAACATATTTAAATGAAATAAAAAAAATAGTCCAATCAATAAATACCTTACATCAGACAAATATAAAAAAGCTATACCTTCACTGAGAAACAATTGTTTAATATATATGGATCAACTAATCAATATAGATATTAAAAAAATATGAAACTAAAGAATGTTATAGTTTATATAAAATATAGATAAGTAACTAGTTTTAGAATGATATTTATTAATAGTCAAGACTATACAAGAAAAGATAATAGAATAGTTCATCGGATTTTGAAAGATGGATTGGATAAAATAAAAATCAAAATATTTTTTAGTAAAATATGATTGTGACAAACAATAGAAGTTGTGGATTGTTATAGGAAATAAAAAAAATCAAGTTATCTAAGAAAAAATAACAAAAGAAAATACAATAAATAATATAGAAATAAAAAACTTCAACTATTCAGTAGTTAAAGAACATCAATAAGCAACAAGTCTAATAAAATGCTTTGAATACCTAGAAGGTATTAAGAAAAATAATTATTGTATAATAATAGAAAAAAGAAATAGAGTACATATAGTTCCATATCTCAATATTAAAAAATCTATCAGAAAAGTTTACATATTAAAAATTTTAAGGAACAAGACAACTATAGAAAAATACTATATAAGAATTTATAATTAATTATAAGCTATTAGTTATTGTGAATAAATATAAAATTATTATTCAAAGCAAGTTAAAATTAGATATATTTTTAAAAATAAAAATTTTTAGTAAATAATAAGTCTTTTTGAATAATATATAAAAAAGAAATTAAAATAAAAAATAAATAAGTTTTTTAAATAGTTAAAAAAAAAAGAATATTTAATAAGAGTATAAATATATTGAGAAAAAATTTCAAAAGTATTAATTTTATTTTTAATTTTTAATTTTAATTTTAATTTTTTTTTTTTTTTTTTGTAGATATACAGTATATTTATAATTTTATATTTTATATATTTTTTTTTTCTTTAATATTTTTCTTATTTTGTTTAGTAATATATAAAATAATTAACTTTGACAATTGAACAATAATAAAATAAGTAACCAAAAAATATTTATCCAAAGTACTTATAAAATATTATATTGTTTTTATAATCAAGCTTATAAACTTTAGCTTAAGATGAATTTGTTAGATTCTATATACAATATAGATAATGCTCAAGTATATTTTATGCTAAGTAATCAATTGATATAATAAATACAAGGTATCAGTTTGGCTTAATGAATTATTGCAAAAAAAAAAAAAAAAAAAAAAAAAAAAATAGAATAAAATAAAAATTTTAAAAATCAATTGAAAATTTATAAAATAAAAATTTAAAAATCAAATGAAAATTTATACTACTAATCTTAATCAAAAATATTTAAAAAACCAATTTCCATGCACCTGATTTGGCTTTGATGATAAAATGTCCTTTTATATAGGCATGCTGATTTTTATATTAATTCTTTTAAACTGTGCAGAATTGACGCCACGTTAATATCGACTATAATTATTTCATGGATATTGACAAGAAGCCGTGATTACCGATCCAGACGAACCGAATTTCTGTGCTCATTAATTCTATCTTTCCGGGTAGCATAATGGGCGCTAGGGTTTAGAGATCACTAGAAAAATCGGTACATCTTTATGAAAGGGAAACCCCCGACCTTTTACAGTATGGGCATCGCCTTTGCCAGAACGAAATGTACTATGTATTCGGGATTTCGCCTCCCGAAATTCCAGTATTATCAATAAGAAAACCCGTCCTACATCAATGAATCATGTGTCACCAAATCTTTGTAAGAAAAACCCAAAGATTTTTTATTTTTAAGAACTCTATGTTACATTTTTTTAAATTTAAACAATTACTTTTGATTTTTGAAATGCAAACAAAAAAAAAAAAAAAATGTCTAAGTTTGAACCGTGTGATTTTTTTTTGATCTAATATCCCAAACCTTCCATTCACCCGCCCATGACATGTAACTACGACCACAAAATTCGCGTAGATCCTAATCTTTGGAACCCCTGCCACCGAACACCACACCATCATTCGGTATACGATATCGCAATTCTAGCCTTTGCAAGGGTACTTTGCAATTTTTAAAGAATTCATCCAATGACTTCAACGTGAATACCCATGCCTTCGGAAAGCTTAACCAACGCAGAGATTTTGGTAGGAAATTCGCCACCTTTGGCAAAGTCATACTTGGTTCCAGGTAACTTTCGTCACCTCCGTCTTCCATATCATTGTTGCCCGTCTCCCGCGTATTACCGTCTCCACTCATGCCAACATTTCTGTCAATCTTAACATCATAGATTCGTAATATTTTCAAGCTGTCCAGTCCACTCAACATCATGAAGCATTCGAGTATGTCTTTTCGGTCCAAGTAGAATTCTAGTTCTTGAACGTTGCTACAATGCTCGATGATCATGCGCAATACCGGGAGGTCGATGTCTTGTTGACAGTTCAGACAGATACTGGTCAGCGATTTGTTGGAATTCCTAATTATCGATGAAAGATCTTTGCTTGGTATTATCGTTCCACGGATGCTCAACCTTTTAAGATTTGGGAACATCATATTACAGTTACGGAAAGACTTGGACGGTGAGAATCCTTGGGGTTTCAAGAATTCCCGAGAATGATCTTGCCGCTGTAATGGGTGATCGTTATAATTCTCCCAGCGACACGCGTTAATTAAGAGCGTCTCCAAATTTTCATAGAATCCGAATGATTCTAAGGTTACGCTATTGTCGAAGTAAACGGTGTCGAACTCCAGCCAAGATAAGGTTCTCGATTGAGTTTGGATTGACGAAAAGAAATCCATGTTCAGGTCGCTGTAAGATATTTTAACAAGTTCTAATCTACGTTGAACTTTAATTAGATTTAACAATAATTCTCGCTCGGATTTTGGATTTTCTACGCTAATGCTAAATGGATCCAAAGTACCGCTGATCAAGTCATTCTCTGATCCATCGTCAATAAAATTTGTGTACGAAGATACAACATCATTAAATAGTGAACTAAAATGACGGCGCTTATATCTCTCGTTGTAATCGAACCTCGCATTTCCACCATATCTGAGTCCACGAACGATTTGTTTTGATTCGGCGGAAATTTTTTCGACCACCAATTTTTTCAAGTTTCTACAATTACGTGATTTTGAAGCGGCATCGAAATTTCTCTCTTTATTACCCCACCCAGAATAATTGAATTCTCGAATATGTGGTAAACAATATAATAGATAAAATCCAATCAATTCATCATGGTCTGCATTGAACTTTAATTGATCAAAATTTGGACAATTTTTATTGAAAAGCAATCCCAATTCTTTTATAACACCAGCGATCATTTTTTGATCCGGCGAAATTGTTCTCGTATGCGGTCGAATGTTATCACAACTTTTTTTATAACTGACCCATAATAAAACTGCTTCCCAAAGGTCACTGGTGGTCAGCCTTCTCAAATAAGAGGAGTAGTTGAAGCTCGGTGGGGATCGCGAAAATTTCCTTTTTAAAGGTTTGCAATCACGTTTCAGACGATTTCTTGCTTCGATGTCCATACAAGAAATTAAGGTTTCCACGAGGTTAGGTGAACCACCTCTTTTCGAACAAAGTTCGAAAGGATTTCTCCATAATATGGGCACAACGTTTTTGCACCAGAAACGGTTCACCTGAAGAATAGTGAATAGTGAACACTCGTCGTCTTGGAGGTGTTCAAATATCTCTTGTAGACATTCGGTCGGTATCGGTTTAATCATATTTGGCAAATTTTATTGAGACAAATTCGTTTAGTACCGGCGAAAGCAGATGTTAAGAAAGGTTGGTATTTTCCTTTAGGATAGTGAACACAGAAATTGTCATAGTTTTAAAAAGAAAAATTTCGACGGATTTTTTTGTACACTCCAGCGTTGCAAATGCTGTGACGTTAATCGAGTGTAACATGACAAGCCAAGGTGAAGATGGAACATGATTGGATGGAATTTTTTTTTTTTTTGATAAAAAGTAAGAAAAAACCCATGATCTCGTTTCCTCCTCCTCCTTCAATCCATTTGTGCTGATTGACGATGGTTAGTGAGTGAACGCTCTCTCGATGACTTGATTCTTTGCACGTATTGCAAAAGAAGCACCCGAATCTGTCAAGTTACTGTTATTGAATTCTAAAGAAAACTGTGTTAATCTGCCCAATTTAGACCAAGAAAAGAAGAAACGGCGGACGTAACAAACTTGGACGTGGTCACGTCAAACCAGTGCGGTGTTCCAACTGCGCTCGTTGCGTGCCCAAGGTGCTCATTTAATAAGTTTCGTCTTGATCAAGTTGGTAGATAAGTACGACGCTAACCATGCTTCAACGATTACAACAGGACAAGGCAATTAAACGGTTCACTGTTCGTAACATGGTAGAAAGTGCTGCTGTTCGTGATATTACAGATGCTTCCGTGTATGAAGGTATTTGGATGAATGAATTGTTTGAACAAGTTTATTCGAATAAATTTACTCATTCTTTGAGTCTAATATTAAATTCAGAATACACACTTCCTAAATTATACATCAAACTACATTATTGCGTTTCATGTGCGATCCACTCTCACGTCGTTAGAGTTAGGTCGCGCAAAGGACGCCGCAATCGTAATCCACCACCGAGATTCCGAATCAACAAGGTAATGTTGAAAAACATGAAGAATCGAACTACTCGAATCTGAGACCACGTCTTTGATTCACTGTGATTTTTTTTGTTTTTTTAATACACCTCCATCCCTACGCATATATATGCTAACTCTTTGACATTTTGTTTCAACAGGATGGCAAAAAGGTTAACCCCAATGTTACACAAAAACTCACGCAATAAAATATTTGCGTGCTTCGTACATCCGCAATTTGTTGCTCACAAGGTCTTGATGTAGATGATCTTTTTTTTCTACCCAAATTCTTGACTGTTATTTCACAACTTTACCAAATATGAACGAAGCAATGTATTTTTTTTTGTTCATTGAAATGTTTAGAAGAAAGATTGTCCGTCTGTAAGCACAGGCACTAAGAAAACAGAGAATGAAATGTCACACATTAATCAACAGTTATTCTGTATGCGCAATACTTGGGCAATACCACTTCAATTCGTAATTGATAAATTACTTTTATTCTTGGAATCAGATTTCGTAAGATTGATTGAATCATGTGAAATTTCTGCTAAATGAGCGTAAATCAAACTCCCGAAGCACTCGAATAGTTATTTTCCAAGAACCATTATTAAAAAGAAAATCAGCGCCCGAATTAGTGATACTTTTTGTTTTTGTGATGTTCTACAAAAAAAAAAAAAAAAAAAAAATGAGTGTGAGACCACCTTGAACTCTTATCTAGCTACTTAATACGCTAAATAGAAACCACTTACTCAAGTGGAATTGATAGTTTATCGTATATCCGATAAGACCAACGCCCAAGATTACGTGTAAAATTGGTACAGGCGAACTTGTTCGAACATATTTGTAATAATATCTCCCCAGAAATCCAGGTCTGGGTGTTTCGACCAGCGGTCCTCTGGGAAGCTTGCTGTAAAATTCACCGAGGCTAGCAAACCGTTTAGCACCGCCTGTCACTTGGGCGACGGATAACTTGGGTGGAAGGAGAGACTTGATGCTGCTCATGACGTTTGTCGAAAAAGCAAAAGTGTGAAGATCGAATATGCTGTGTATTTTCCTGGATCACCAAAAAATGATGGACGCGGAATACGTGACCGGAAAAAATGATGGTAACATAACAACGATTACATTATATTATTCTTAAAATTATGAAAATCCCCATTAAAATGAAAAATTGTGATTTATTTAATGATGATTTTTATAAACACCACCTTATTTATAACAAAATATCAATGGTTCTATTTTACATGATATACATAAAATCAAAACTTTTTATAAATATCCGATTTAAACTGCACACATTATCGCCGCTTCGGTGATTGACCTATAGTTATTTGACGTCGTAACTTGCGAGGAAGCTGAAGCTATTATCGCCGTTCCGGGACGCCAAATTCCAAGTGCCCTTATAATTCAACGTTACATCGCACGCCAAGGTGATAAGACCAAATTCTTTAGTTTTCTCGATCACAGGTTCCAAATATGATTGCTTCTCGAATCCCGGACCAATAACCAGAATCTCTGGTGTCGTGCCATCCTCATCTGGATTAAGTATCAAGACCTCGAATCTAACTTTTTTAGTGTATTCTAATTGGGACGTAAATGGTCTAATGACCGAACAGGGGAAAGGAGTTGCGAATAATTTTACGAATCTCTTGCACTTGCCACCCGTTCCGAGATTTTTGACTTTCATGGTTACGATTTGTGGGCCCTAACATATAATTAACATCATGAATAAACGATGGATATCGCGATAGACACAAGGCAACAATCCTATATGAACGAAGGTTTACCGAATTTTCTCCTCCTTTCATGTAAAATATTTTCAGAATTCCATCCCCACGAGTTGGACAACCAATTCTTATCCTATGTATTATACCTCCTTTTGGTCCAGTTTTAGACAATCTTTGAATGAACGTGTCAAGATCCTGACCTTTCCACTCCAAATACCCCACAATTTTATTAGCATTTCCGTCTTTAATTGTTTGCTCCACGTCTAAGATTATATTGTCTTCTGATGTTTCAATTTCGCATCCAAAATAGTGTACAAAAGAAAGGCCTTCTTCAAAAAATGTTGGCTTATAATGGGGTTGATTGATGAATTCCGGACGAGTGATAGTCGGTTGCAAATATTGTTCTTTCACTTTGTCCGGAAAATGTGTGTATATGAACTTTGTTGGTGAACACATGAAATAAAATGGACAGAATTTCTTTACAAATTCTTTGTTAGAAACTGATCCGGCACCCCATGTACAATCAATCAATAGATATTCCCCTTCGTAAAATACCCCGTTCCAAGCGTGCGGATAATCGCCTGGTCCTATCGAGTCACCAACATTATAACCTGCACCTGATAACATAAACTTACAAATCAGTAATTAATTAAATAGTTTAACGGTTTTAGGAAAGCCTATTTACCCTTGGCGCCTCCACCAATCTTGCATACATTCAAACCGGCCTCGCGAGAAAGGTCATAAAACAATTCACTATATCCAGCACAGACTGCCATTCTGGTCTTTAAAACATCTTTCGATGCTTTAAAATTCAATTTACCTAAAAATAGTCATTTTTCGTGTCCCATTTATGGCATCTTTTCTTACCAAAACATATTCTTCCGAGTATAGTTATATTAATGAGAAATACCTGAATAAAACGATTTACAATCATATGAAATGTTGTCGGTAATCCAGACATAAATAGCGCGTAACTTGTAAAGGTCATGCTCCCAAACAGATGTCAAATAATTAGACAGTTTCGCAATTGACACCGTTTCTGATTTTGGCGTTTCCCTGGCATATTCATCAACGATTGAAAAGTCGATTTCTGTGTAATATCGTTTCGAGGTGAGTCGATAGAGTATATACTGTAAATGAAATTGCAATAAAACAAAATGAATAAATAAATACCCGAACAGTCAAGGTGTCCTTCAAAACCTTCTCCAACAATAGGAAGGCAGCGACTAAATTGAACCTACGGGTTACGGTTCTTATTCGATTGATCAACCAACGAAGGATGAAATCATCTTGGTTTACCTGACGGGATCTGGGTAATCTTCAATTCCCTCATATATCGTATCGCTGTCCACTGTGCTAAACCTATTGCCAGTACTTTCACTACTTTTCATTGAATTACTGGAATCCCTTCTTCGAATACTGGGACTTTCAACACTAAGTTGTGACGAGTACGAAGCCGTTCGAGTCGATCGAGGCCTTCCTTTCGTTTCCCTTTCCACATCCGAAGAATCATTCGTGTCTTGTCGACTATGATTTCCGCGAGGAGGTAATGGCGGTGGTTTAGTCCTACTCCCGACAGATTTTTTGATACCCTTCTCGCTTTCTAAAGGTTCCTCGGTTATAACACGGGTGGTGGAATTATGCCTGGGGGGTAATGGCGGAGGTTTCCTATTACCAACTTTTGAACTATTGGGACTAACTTCTTTATCTAACTTAATTATGGAAGAAGCAATACTTTGCAAATCTTGAAACTTTTTGCGCGAAATTATAGGTTTCTCTTCTTCCTCCTCCTCCTCCTCCTCCGCGTCATCATTAAAATGACTGACAGATCCTCGAGATTTGCTTGATCTATCAAAATTATTATCGTCAGAACGATTCATCGTCTCCTTTCGAGTTTTATTTAAATTACCTCGTGAAGGTAACCGAGGTTTGTCATCGTCTTCTTGCGCATAACTCGTAGCTTTCTGAACTCTTTTAATGTTTTCCCGTGTGATCAATGGAGATGATCGTGGTCTATTCGGGATATCTCTAGAATCGTCGTCTTCGTCTTCATTTAAATAGCTAGAGGCCTTTTGTAATCTGTTAATATTATTTTTCGTTATTAATGAAGATAGTTGAGGTTTGTCCTCCTGTTCTTTTCCCGAATTAGAATAGCTGGTCGCCTTTATAGCAGATTTTCGTGTGAATAATGATGACTCATTGTCATCTTCTTGTCCATCTTCCATCTTAGAATAACTGTTTGCTATTTTGTGAGCATTTTTTATATTTTTGCTTGTAATTAATGAAGATGATTTTGTTTCGTCACCATTCTCTTCAACATTCGAATAAGCGTCGGCAACCTTTTTCAGACCATTGATGTTATTTCGATTTATTAACGAGGATGATCTGGTTCTACTACCATCTTCCTGATCTTCTTCCGCGTTCGAGTAATCACTAGCCATCCTGTGTATATTTCTGACATTCTTCTTTGTTACTAATGAAGCTAAATTTTGTTTTTGATCGTTTCCCCCTTGATCCTCTTCTTCATTTGAGCATTTAGTAGCCATCTGTTGTATGTTTCTAACATTTTTTCCTGTAATTAATGAAGACGGCTTTGTTCTGCTGTTGTCTTCTTGATCCCCTTCATTTAAGTACTTGTTTGCCATCATGTGGATACCTCTTACGTTTTTACTTGTGATTAACGATTCTGAATTATCATCGTTCCCTTCCTGATCTTCCTCCTTTGCGTATTTACCAGCCATCTTATTATGCACATTTTTGACGTTTGTTCTTGTGAATTTCGATCCAATATTATCTCCTTCCTGGTCTTCAGCGGTGATATTAACAAGCCTCGTTAATCCACTAGCATTATTCCGATTTATTCGTGATGGCTTGGGTTCATAGCTATCATCTTGAAATTCGTCTACATCCAAATATCTAGATTTCGCCTTAATACCCTGATTTTTTTCACGTGCACTTATTTCAGTAGAAGAATTGGGTTGACTTGAAATGAAATTCTCACGCGGAGGTAACGGCGGCGGTTTTTTATTAATGGGAACTTGCGGTTTTGGGAGAGGTGTTGGCTTAGATGCGTCACTATTTTGTTCAAAACTATTTAACAGCTCGGCAAAGCGAGAACTTTTCGCTGCCATTTCGGATGCAAAATTCAAATAAGGTTTTTATTAAAAATTGTCGAAAAAACGAGTGAAGGAAAAGTGCAAGTTGAGTAGAGGTTTCAGAAAACGCATTAGTATTAACGATAGAGTAAAACGTTAAAGGATGTAAATAATAAGATTGGACCAATAACATGATAGAGTATATATGGAGAAGGATTATCTTATCACGAGAATCGCCCGTCATTTAAATAAACAAAAGCGTGTTAAGATCTATTTAATAAACTTTAATAAAAAATAAAAATGCGTTGGATTATAAATCGAGGACAAAAAAACATTCACAACTTTTTTAAGGCTTGTTTGATTTCCAGCGATGGAAAGATGATACAACAGAGGACATTTCGAGTATTTTTCGCAAATACGATGATCGGTTGCGAAGTGTTTTTTTATTCTTGCTGAAATGATAAAAACATCAGAATCAATATTTCATGAAAATTTTCTAAACATAGAAAATTCGTCATGAAAAATGATTGTTGTAAACTTGATCTTATTTGATCGGCAAATAGAATACAAATAATGCACACTCCTTAGATCCCTTATCATGAATTACCATTGATTTGGCTTGAGTCATTGGTGTGCGATAATAAAAAAAAGAAAATAATTTTTTGAATAGTTAAAAGTTTTTTTTAATTATTGAAAATTTTTATTTTTAAGATTTTATTTGTTTATTTGATAATAAAGATAAATTTATCTATTTAAACAAATTTATAATCAAATATATTGCATATTTTTTTTATTTACAATAATATTTTAAAGAATTGAAAGTTATTGAAACAATATTTTATTTATAAATAAATTGATTTTTTATGTATGTAAAAAGTAAATTTTTTTTTTTTTTGTATATTTAGTTTTACTAATTGAATTTGGCTAATAAAAAGATTGATGAATTATTTATGATTGTTATTGACATATTGTAAAAAAAAATTTGATATAAAAATTCAAATTTTATGAAATTTATTAAAAATTACAAAGAAAAGTCAAGTAACATTTTTGATATCATTAGTAAAAAAGTTTTCAAAGGAGGAAAAACTAATTGTGAAGTATCTGAAGATTTTTTTAATTTTTGAAGCGAAAGGTTTATAGAGGTTTTCTGTGATAAAAAGATTTATTTATTTCTTTTTTTATTATTTTAATCCTTTTAAAATTTTTATTTTTACAATTTTCTAAGGAATTTTGTTTACCTTGATTTGATCCTAAATTTTGGATAGTACCAAAGATGATTGGTTGACACAAAACATATCAATTTTTAAAATGTAAATAAGTACCTATTGATTATACTCATATGTCTTGATATATAATTAGTAATGTAGAAAAGAAAGTTCTAGAAAAAGTATTTCTTCCAATCATACATATTTAACCTCTAGAAAACAATTACAATATTGAAAAGTAAGTGATAGGTAAAAAAAAAAATCCAATTTCTATCTTTCATTAAGTTTCTCAGGTGGTAAAAAAAAAACTTTCTTGAACAAAAGTTAAGATTTCCAAGCTTCTATTCCAGTTAGGCAAAATTCTTGAAAAGATTTCTTTATCTCAATTAGATAAACTTTTCTATAATATGATGTTAACTTCAGTAGCATTAAGTGAATTCATATATTGGCAGAAGGATAAGCTTCTCAAACATTTTTCTTAAAGTTACTTTCAAGAATGATTAAGTTCTTCAAACATTATAAAGCTTAGAGAATATCCCAATCAGACAAACCCCTTTTGAAAGAAAATTGTGAAATGGAGCAAAAATATTTTAAAGAACTTTGAATTATTTTTCTTTTCACTTTTTTTTCACCAGTATCAACTTTAGTAATTTATCGTTTTTTGAGATAATCAATAGTGATAAACTGTTATCAATAATTCTGATTGACTTAGAAACTAATACCAAGTTATTAGGAGAGCAAGATATTGTCCTCAAAAGCTAACTTAAAGTATCTAGTTTAAATTTAGTTTTGTTTAGTTCAAATTAGCTTAGTAGACTCCTTATATTTTTTAAGTAGTGTAATTCTTTAACTAATAATATACAACAACAAATTAGTTGCTTTGTGAAAGTCTATAAACTTTGTAATATTTTTCAATATCTCAATAAAGACATACTATTGTAATATAATTATAGGTTATTAAAAAAAAATTATATTATAGAAATATAAATTATCACAATATTATTTATGAATTAGTTGGAACACTTGAATTGATTTTGAATGTTCATTCAAATATTTCAATAAATCCTTTTTTTTTTTTTATAAATCCTAGGTCAGGCTAGGTACGTGTGCTTTATTAAACTTTTGTATACTGTATATTTTAAATGATTCGCTAAAGCTAAGACTTTACATAACTCACTCATCACTGTTTTGTCTTAATATACCAAAACTCTAAGTATAACTTTGAAAGAATATTTTAACAAATCCTTTAACTATAAGTAATAATAATTAATATTGTAATTATTTATCATAAAATATTTTGCTAAAATATATATATATATATTTTATCCTCTGTCAGGCTAATTATATATGTTTTATTAACCATTAGTATACTATACATGTAAAATAAATCGCTAAAATTAAATATCTAATTAGCTTACTTATCTTGATTATTACTACTCCAAGTGCAACTTTGGGAGTAATTTATCACTTAATTAGTAGCTCAAGTAAAAATCTTTTCAACTACTAATTTTATTGCCTACAGATCACTACTGCAGATATTTTGTTGAAAAATATCTTTTCATAATATCAACTATAATCATATATATTTATTCCTTTTCTAGTGATATTTTTCAAATTAGTTTTACTTTTTTCCGGTGAATGTATTTTTGTTTTTTTAATTATATTAATTAATTTATTTTAATATTTGGTAACTTTCTTTGACTTTCATTCAATAAATGATTGTATACTTTTAATTCTTTGTACTTTTTTTTTTTTAAACTGTAACTGGTATTAGATGTAAGCTTTTATTAAGAATTAACTTACCAATTTGATGGATAATTAAATCCTATAACAATTATATCAGTCATATCATATAAACTATATATTTATATATTTATATATATCAATGATAACCTATTGTAGTTTTTTATAGATGAACCTACTACCACTTTGTAAGTAGGACAGACCCAGTTAGGGATTGGATGGTCAAATACACAATCATTAACAGTAAAACAAGCTAATTCAATAGTGTGCTTTATAAATTTTTATATTATATTTACTAAACTAGGCTATATTATATGTAACTGATGAGATTTAATTCACCCTCCAATACTTCCAAATATTATTTGCTCAAACCTTGAAAGGAGGCACTTTTCTTCTTTATTACTATATATGACATCAAATTAATTTCATATAACTAATTTTCATTTAAGTAGAATATCAAATTGAAATATTCTGAACTAGGAAGGTGTGGATTCTGAAGATTGCCAGGATAGAAGATTTTTAGAACATTTATGGTAGGCTAGACCAGAAACCTTTCTTCATGTAATCCTTTCAGTAGTATAACCATAGATCTTAGCCCCTGATCAATGGAAGGACAGAAGTCCTATCTTCATATAGCCTAACTTGATTAAAACTTGTTTCAAATGATTAGGTATGACATTCATAGAATAACCAATAAATCTGATTAGAAGAATAATTTTTTATTTTAGTCCTTAAGCAGTATTGAATTATAGACCTTATGATTATAACCTGGAAGCACTATTACTATGCTATTGATCCACTAGTCTCTTTGTATTCTTTTCTTAATTATTTATTAAAAATTAATATTTGAAGATAGTATAAATACATAATATTATCAATCTTATTTTGTTTAACTGGCTATTTGCATATAAATGACAATGGTTCACTCCCAGTTTTCTAGTTTTTGCCTTCTAATATCTTTCTCTCTGATGATAATATAAAATACCTAACTATATGTTTATTTGCTTTTATAAGGAATTAAAATATGTGGCCATGAATTTTATTAATTTGGATATCAACTTTTGTAATGTTTTTTTATTCATATCACTTGAAAAAACTTTGTTTACTCTCAATTTATATTTATCAGGAATGGTTTTCATTAAGGCCTTCCTTTCTGTTCTCACTTTTTCTAATTTTGGCTTATTTTTGGTAACTAAATTTACCAGTTTTATATCTTTACTACTTCTCCTAGATTGAATTCTTTGGCACTTTCCTAAACTTGACAAACTTTTAGATTCTGATATATTGGTTGCTCTAGATTCTATAACTATAGAATCAAATTCAAGTTCCACAGATTTAAGCCAATCAATTTCTTTTTTTAAATCCTCTATTTTATTTTTATGCTATTCTGATTTTTTGGAAAACTTGTTGTTAATATATTTTATTTAGTTTAATTGTTTTATAAATTCAATATTTTCTCTTTTTAGTTTTTTGACATGTGTATGTAATTCTTCATTTCCTAAATAAATAATTTAATTAATAAAAGTAAATTTTAATAATTAAACAATAATTTAATTCCAATCTTTTTTGATAGCCTTCCTAGTTTGAGTTTGGGGTAACAATTTAACTTCTAGTATTTATATTTACATAACTTCAGATATCAATATTTTAAGCAATACAATAAATTGTATTCTTTTAAGCAATTCAGCTATTATGATAGGGATTGAAGATTCAGTATCAGGTATTATTGAATAAACTGTTGCTACTTATAATGTAGTTGATACAAAGAAAGTTTGTAATAGCAGGAATAATTATGAAGATTGTGAAGATAAAAGTAACTATTCTCTGTAAAAAACATATCCAGTTAATTTTTTTTATTTAAATATTTTAGGTAATAGAAAAAAAATATTAAATTAAAGAAATATTTAAATAAAATTATTCATGTTGTTTTAATACAATTCAAGACTACATATAATATCATACTATTATTTATTATATTATATTATAATTTGAAATTACATATTATATTATACTATACAGTATATTATTCTTTATATTTTACTTGTATTATATTACAATTCAAAGTATTTAATACAGTATATCAATCAC